AACTGTAGTTGTAAAAGGAAAAGAAATTACAACAGTTTAAATAACACTAGCATTAGAGCAGAAGAATACATTTTAATAAAAGTAAATTGCTGCTAAATATTTCAAATCATTAAAACTTTATTAATTAATTAAAACATAAAAGGACTAAAGATTACCCCATAATAAAGCTGATACCAAACTTAAAGCTTAAAAATAGCTTTAAATATGATATTTAAAGTCATGCATCACTTAATTACAGTTCAAGAGGGTGAAAACAATCATTTTTAAATTAGTTCAAAAATAGATTTCCAATAAATATATGAATCAAACAGTTTACGAATACAATTAAAAATAATTCATATACATGATTCTAGGAAACATACTAATTAAAATAAAAGGATTTAAATTAAATTTATAATAGTTTGTTTACAGAGGAATTGGAAAAGGAACTTGTCACTAATTTGTTCATGTCAACTTTTTGTTTATATCCATGGTTTATGGGGCACGGGCATTGATTGTAAACAAANAGGAACTTGTCACTAATTTGTTCATGTCAACTTTTTGTTTATATTTAGTGTTTCAGTTGAAGTACAAGTAGATTTCTTTTTATCGAATTAAAAAAAGGAGCACAGCAGCCGATCGATAGACATAGACAAGAAACGAGACATTCATACGGACAATATTTGTTGCGTTTGTTTTATCATCACGCGCGTGCGAAACATGTCCTTGCGCAAAAGTTGGTTGGTGAAATACGAAATGGCCCTGAAAATTCGCCAATCACGTTCTTGCTTACATCTCTGAACTGTCCCGCAGTGGACTGATCGTTAAGACACGGTTTTCATTAGATCACCGAAGTCAAGCATCACTGGCTGCGGTCAGTGTGCGGGTGGGTGACCCACTTGGATCAGTCTGCGCAGGGACCGAGGGTGTGCGGTATTGGTCCTCGTTAAACTGTGCTACCGTAAAGTGCTCGACTTCGCGCGCAGGTCGTCGGGCTACCGAAGCGGGGGTGCCATCCCCTCCGCAGAGGATCAAAATTGTGATGGCATGTCTTCAGATCATCCTCCGGGATGTTTCCCAGACCGTCGCCAATAGCCCATTGTGCAGCTCTAGTGCGACGTAAATTAACAACAACAACAACAACATCTCTGAACTCGCATTCATGATTTTTTGAATGCAGTGAGAACGGCCCTTTCATTCAGGTTGGGCCATACTCATGTAACAGAGTTAGTGCCATAAGAATACCATTTTCTTTGAATTTTATTTTTAAAGTCTGAGATCAGTGTCAACAAAAAAATAAACATGTACTCTGAGCATTACCAAACAATGTTTAAATAAGAAGGAAGCAAAAAAAAAAAGGAAAACCTAAAATATTGATACGGAAAACACTTCTTGTAATTCTAATATTTATGGCAATTCATTCCTTTGTTAAAACCGCTAATATTTCACAAAAACACCTTTTATGTCTCATTCAAAAATTAAATCACTTTGACGACTTTAATTCGTGTTTATTAACTGTGATTATAATGACTCACTATATCTTGGTGAGGCTTGCTTCATTCTTTAGAACTTTATACATCATAAACAGGTGGAAACAATAAGACTTTAACAATATTTTTGGATAATACGTTATATTTGAAAGTTTAGAAGTTTTTAAAACAATTAACAGTTTAATCTTCTTATTGAAATTTTCTCAAGAAAATAAATAATTATCATGTGATACATTAAGCATGATAAGCATTCTGACTGATTAAACTTAATTAAACATTTTTACATGGAACTCAACTTTCCCTTTTCGGTTTATAGAAACAAACCACTCTCATTAAATGAAAGTCATTGACGAAAAAACATAATAATAAAATAAATTGAAAGTTTTTCAATTTTTTACAAATATTTCTATTTATTTTAAGCTTTTTATTCCATAAGTGTTCATTTTTTATGAATGCGTTAATCTATTTATTGAAAAAACTTGTCAAAGTAGTATTTTTTAAATTACAAAATAAAATTTTGTTAAAAAAATTGTTCAAAAAGAGTTACACAGACAAAAGATTATGAAAATACAATTCTATTTCGAAGTTTGTCGCTAAAGAAAGTAACTCTGCTCCCCGCAGTTTCAATGTCTTAAACTGGAAACACAGCTTTAATTTTTAAATATATGCTCTCTTTCAAAGTATGATTATCTATAAATGTATAATATTGTCTATAAAATCTATAGACTTGTTGGACAAAAGCTTAATTATTTAAGAAAAATTACATTTTAGAAAAAATGAAGAATACTACAAAAATTTTCCTCTTAAGAAAATTAATTAAATAAATGATTAACTCTCAATTTTTTCTTAGTTTTTTTCATATAATTTTTGCACAGTTAGTGAACCCAAGCACTGAGGTGTTTAAGAATTTGATTAAAAACGCACGCTTCTTTTCCGTAAAAAAAAGGAAAGAAACTTTGTAACTATCATTTTGCTCCAATTTGATAATTAACACCCAGTCTGCTGGTGCTGGCATAAGTTGGATAAAACTAAAACATAGCTACTGTCTTGATTAAATGTTATAAACTCACAACAGCTATAAAAACAATATATTATTCACTAATAAGCGTTATTCCATAATGATGTTAGAGCTTTCGAAGAATAGCCTTAACCCTTTGCTTAATAACAGGGAAGAAATATTTTAACCAAAATTTTAGCAAAGAATAGAAGTTAGAATTATGGTCGTCGTATGCACGTCCAAAATGAAGCGATTTGTTTTATCTACAAAGTATGGGTAGTTTAAGAGATGACAAGTATTACATATTTGGTGGAAAATATTACTGTTAAAAAGAGAGAGATAGTTTTTTTCCTCATCACTTGAAAGGGTTAAAAAGATTTATCAAGACAGCGGACCGAAATTTTTCACCTACCAAGTTTTTAGTTTAACGGAAATCCGACTTTATAGATAAAGTTTACCATCAACTTTGAAAATATGAACCAAAGATTAAAAAACTAATTACATTTCTAAAACATTAAATGGAAAAAGAAGTTCATTTCTTTATCAATAATAGTCTTTAAATTTTGTTTTATATAAGATAGTTTAACTTGTAGCAGGAGCACTAACAGTTTTTTCCCCTGTAGCATGTAGCCAAAGAATTTAATAATAAAAGGACCATTGATTGAACACAAACTCTCAGTAACCCTTCCACGGAACCCAATGACTCAGCGGAACACCTTTAGGAAACAACTGCCATAAGAACAGTTCATAAATACAAAGTCCTATAATTCGTAAACACAAATATCAAGTGTTATTATTTTATGTTGAAATACATTTCTAATTTATTCTTCGATTTTTTCCTCCCCTCGATTTAGGAGTTAAAAATTCATAGGATAGGTCCCCAGACGGTTAAGGCCAATTTTTCAATTGCACTATCCTGAGATGTTATTTCTTAGAAAAATTTAAATAGTGACTCGTTTTCATGTCTTCAGCCTGATTAAATTTATAAAATTCTATACAAATATTTTATTCATCTGATATTGCTGAAACAAATTACAACTAAATATGTTCTAAAACAATGTTAATATTTTTTCAAAAATGTTATTTTACTTAAACTTGTGTGGAGCCCAAGGGACTCCGTCTTTAAGAAGGGCATGATAGCAGTTTGGACAAAGGGGGTGATCGTAATTTCAGGTCCATGGTCAGTCTGATCCTGATGTTTAAAACCCCTGGAATTGATCATCGGGTATATGGGGAAGGGCAGGGCCGGCTCATGCATGTCGCGGCCCCTAGGCAGTGCTCGTCTCGCCCCCTCCCCTACCGTCTTCTAACTTCCTAAGATATTTTTTCGCTAACACAACACTTTATTCATAATTACGCTGTTTTTTACTACTTAGGCATATTATCACATTATTCAATAAAAATATTGAATCAAACGAAAAGAATATAAGTAATTAATATATGCATTTAAAAAAAATCATACAATAAGCTTAAATATTAACTCTTCTAACTTTTTTTGTTACAAAATCGTTCAAGACATCCTGAAAGTTAACCTTTTCCAATACATCA